TGGTTTTTTAAATCACTTCCCGTATGATGACATTTGGGTTCAAATTCTAGGTTTTATGACTGTGTTGGTATATTGCCTTTCAGCTTACAATGTAATGTTTATCGTGGTTGACCGCTACATTCTTGTATGTCATCAAACTAAATACAAACTGTGGGTAACTACAGACAGAGTCATCTTCATCATCTTCTTCTGCTGGTTGTTCTGGCTCACAGCAGTGGGTCTGGCATTCATATCAACACCCACCCTGTTTCAGTACAAACCGAGACTTCTGCTTTCTCTCCCTGTATTTATATCCACATCGTTCTCCATACATGTGCTTCTTGGTCCAGTGTTGACATCTTGTGTAGTGACTTTCTGTTACATGAGGATCATACAGTCAGTCATGAGACTGAATAGGGTTGGTACAGAAGACCACAGAGGAGTTCATGTGGACAGGTCAAATGTAAGGAACGTTATATCAGAGGACAGAAAACGGAAATCTGTTGTTTTCGTATCGCTTCTTCTTTTCATGTATGTATTTCCAATGATTCCATTTTTTATAGCTGTACCCATATTGTCAACGAGTGAGTATATACTACCACAAGGCCAGTGGTTTACGGTTGTGCTTTTTTCTGGTTGTTTTCTAAATGTTTTAGTTTATGTGTTAGGGTATCCGCCATTTAGAAAAGCGTTTAAGGACATTTTTTGTAAGTCGTACGTGCGAAAGCAAAAACAAAAAGAAATGGTTGCAAAAACTGTGAGGACAATGTCTATTTTGCAAACATCTAGATTTTGACCAGTACATACTGTGGCCTTTGTTCTTAAACTGTTCAATGTAGTTTCTAACAGCCTGTGAAATCCTCTCAGATTTCCAACCCAGCTCATAATAGGCCTAACATGGCAACCATATTGGAAACATGACATTATACTCTTCTCAATGTTTATTGTGACCTTTGCTATGTATTCATTACATGAAATTACATACACTTGTTTGTAATACCTCAGTGATTCTCATTTTCTTTTGATGTCACTATTTAACCATGTTTTGTCAGTATTTATGTCAGTTCATGTTGATATTTGACACTTTGATCTTTGGACTTTGTGTAGAATTTGGGATCTAGTCTAAATCAACGTTTTTTATGACTATATCGCTTGCATGAACCTATACAAATTCTAACACGAGTATTCAGGGGAGGTAGCCAAAGAATGGCACCACACAGTAACCTAAGTGTCTATACATATTATACATCACCATAGCTCGTCACAGCACCACACACTAACCTAAGTGTCCTTACATTTTATACATCACCATAGCTACTCACAGTACCACACACTAACCTAAGTGTCCTTACATTTTATACATCACCATAGCTAGTCACAGTACCACACACTAACCTAAGTGTCCTTACATTTTATACATCACCATAGCTAGTCACAGTACCACACACTAACCAAAGTGTCCTTACATTTTATACATCACCATAGCTACTCACAGTACCACACACTAACCTAAGTGTCCTTACATTTTATACATCACCATAGCTAGTCACAGTACTACACCCTAACCTAAGTGTCCTTACATTTTATACATCAACATAGGTAGTCACAGCACCACACCCTAACCTAAGTGTCCTTACATATTATACATCACCATAGCTACTCACAGTACCACACACTAACCTAAGTGTCCTTACATTTCATACATCACCATAGCTAGTCACAGTACTACACCCTAACCTAAGTGTCCTTACATTTTATACATCAACATAGGTAGTCACAGCAACACACCCTAACCAAAGTGTCCTTACATTTTATACATCACCATAGCTAGTCACAGTACCACACCCTAACCTAAATGTCCTTACCTTTTATACATCACCATAGCTAGTCACAGCACCACACCCTAACCTAAGTGTCCTTACATTTTATACATCACCATAGCTAGTCACAGTACCACACACTAGCGTAAGTGTCCTTACATTTTATACATCACAATAGCTAGTCACAGTACCACACACTAACCTAAGTGTCCTTACATTTTATTCATCACCATAGCTATTTCACAGTACCACACACTAACCTAAGTGTCCTTACATTTTATACATCACCATAGCTAGTCCACAGCACCACACACTAGCCTAAGTGTCCTTACATTTTATACATCACCATAGCTAGTCCACAGTACCACACCCTAACCTAAGTGTCCTTACATTTTATACATCACCATACCTAGTCACAGAACCACACACTAACCTAAGTTAGCTGACTCACTCACGCACGCACGCACGCACGCACGCACTCAATCCCTCACTTTTGAATTCCTCACAATGAGAGGCCTTAAAATTAACTTTGATGAGAAAAAAACCGAAACAACATAGATAGGCTCAAAAACTGATAGCAATGACTGTTCACGTCAAATGTACAATTATAAAAAGCGATTGTTCGTTTCGAGATTATCCTTAATCGGACCTCAAGTGATTGCTGCATAATCTGGCCTTTGTTATTCCATTGTATGGAAATCTGCCTGTGCCTGTACACAGTTTTACTTCCTGACGCGTCTGGTGTTCCCATGCAACACTCACTTTGTTTCTCGGCCTGGAAGTTCTCCCGTGACCATCTGACATCTTCATACTCCTGTCCGGCCAAGGCAAACAACAGACGGCACACTTCAGCCCGCCCTTTATTGTCCGTGTAGATGAGCTTGTAAGAAGGCATGTTGCTCGCTCCCTGTGCAGTGAGTACTCCCACTCTGTGTATCTTATGATGGTGTGCGATAAGGGTTATCAGACTCGCGTGTATGAATATATTTACTAATACGTGGTTGTGTATATAATACGTGCCCACCCGACCGCCCGTCCGTCAAGGTAAATATGGATCAGGTGAAACTTATATCAGTGGTTCCTAAACAGCAAAACTGTATTCAGGTTGAATTTTGGTCACTGGGCCTCCCATGTACACATGTAATACGTCACTGGACCTACCGTGTACTATGTCACTGGACCCATCTTAAGATTCATGATGAAAGTGAAAAATCAGTTGAAGTTGATTTGTGATTCAAAATGTAAGACAGTATAATAATTTATGAATATCGAATATGTTACAATGTATTAAAACCGTTTTCTAAGTTTCAGGCTTCCAGGAATTCCAATCGGAAATCTCTACTGGAGCACATGGACAGATCTGGAAACCAGATAACACAGCACTGAGGAGCCATTCAGATCGGTTCCAGCCTTGGATGTAAACTTCGTATTCCATGTATTTCAATAAACTTGCCGCCACGTCAGGCTGACGTGAACGTACCCAAATACAGAGTTGTGTAATTATTTGTAAATGTTTTATGTTCGGTTGAGTTTACGAATTAGAACATAACTCAGATGACTCGATGTCCTTGTGTCTGTACACATTAATGCGATACACGAAGAAGCATGTGAATGAGCACGGAAAGCCTGTTTGTCTAATGCTTTGTTTCTTTGAATTTTCGTGCAGATGGTCTTGTTAAGATTAACAAAAAGTTCTGTGTTAACTACTTCGTTCAAAATGTTAATGATACATGTATTCAATCCAATATGATGACTGTAGTTGTATGTATCAACTCATCGAGGCATATACATTGCATAACTTTCCATCTTGTGTAATTTAGTAATAGTAATAGTCCGCTTATATGGCGCTCACATCCAGGCAGATGGCCTGCTCACGGCGCTACGTACATTACTATCCCCGGTCATAAAACACTATCGTACTATCCGATACTGGAATACAGCCAGTCTGTCAGGCGCAATAAACTAAACACTCACATTGCCAGCACATCCTCACGGGTACCCATTTTACAGCTGGGTGAACTGAGACAATGTGGATCTAAGTATCTTGTCCAAGGATACTACGAAAATGTGCCCACCTCGGGACCCGAACCTAGGTGACTCCACCTGGGATCGAACCCGGGCCTTCAGCGTGATAGGCAGACACCTTACCACTGCACTACTGCAGTATACCATAGTATTATTTAACTTCGTGAAGATCCTGACCCCTTGCAGGTCAGTAAAGGCGATAAACGGGATCGAGTGGCCACGCTGACTGACTCAGTAGATTCATGTTATCGTATCCCAAATGATTCAACTCGGAGACCAAAATGTCAGTCATGAATGTGAGGCCAAATCTAGCCTATTTACAGACGATGGATCTAACTAACGAGATCAGGTGGTCACACTCTACAATAACAATGTCCATATTTACGAGGCGAGGCATGCAAGTGCCTTGTCCATCTCATATTATATGGCTGTTTCATGGTTATTAAATGTTTGTGTGAATTGTGGTAGTTGTAATATAGAACTTGTTTTGGATGTTGTTATGTGTGTTACTTGTGGTTGTTTCCTGATGTGTTTTCGTAAAAAGAAGATCATCTGAGGCAAGCTATATATTTATTAATTTAAAGCAGAAGAATTTATGAATATTCTTTAAAATGGGACAAGGATCGAAACAATTGGCAGTCCTAGGAAATTCTAGTTAAATCTTTTAGATACATAATTCTTATACAGCACAATATATATTCATGTATCAAACGCTGATTGCCCTAATTCTACAAAGAGATCGCCTCACCTAGACACAAATCACCTATTACTAAAATCTGAAGCTTTATATACTACCCATCAAAAAGTTTAGACTCACTAGTGTAAATGTAGCCACTTACTTCGGTCAACTGTTCTAAACTAGATTTGCAAAATATTCCATACTGTTTAAAGGTACTGTTTATACATTAACTGATGTATTGTAAACAAATTCGTAATGTTGAAAAGATTATTGTCACGAGTTAAATAAATGATAAAAATCAGTGAAAATTGGAGAATTCTTAACAAAACTTTACCCCAAAACGCAGCTGTTCACATGCACGATATTTGCACATGCTTTACAGCAATTTGATGCATGATCCTCATGCAATTCATCTGCATAAGGCTTGCAGTTGGTTCCCCCAATTTAGCGGAGAAATTCATCTTCGATGTACGACATATATATACATAAGATATAGTGAGTGCTTTAAGTGAGTCTAAACTTCTGATGGGTAGTATATAAACCCCAATCCGCTGGCCATAGTGGAACACCTGAAGTGCTATAGATTCCCGAATCGGAAGTGTTGTACTATTTCGATCTTCAGCTGTCAAACAATTTACAAACTCGGTTATGTAGCAATGCCTTTTCTCTTGGCGAACATGGTTGGCTTTTGTTTCATTTTGGGCATATCTGACTGCCATTTTGGCATGTTCAAAATTCGGAGACCGGTCGCTCTCGTAGCCATTTTGCAATTCTCTCATTGGACTCCACTTTCTCCTTATTTGCTTTTACCAAGGGAAAAACATCCAAATTGATTCCTTCCATTTTGGAAAGGGTGTCAAAGGCGGCGAGATCTGCATACCCAAGCTGTAAATAGATACAGACAAATGTTGGTTAGCCTGTGTACAGTACAAATACCAATACACAATGGAATTATGAAATTATTGATAGCCATACCTTCCTGGTTTGATCTCGACCTTAATGTTGTGGAACGTCATGTTAGGATCAGATCTAGATAAGATCATGGACATAGCACTGACCGACCTTGCTCATATCATGGACGAACTTTAAAATAATAACATCAATATATGCCTTGGTCATATTTTGAACACAACATTGACCGACCTTGGACATATCAAAAGGTCAATGGACAGATTACGAAATGTCGTCGTTTGTATTACACAGCCTGAGCGTATTCCGATTACGAAAATCCATGTTCCATGCTCCTGTAATACTGTGTTTATGTGTGTTTGACATGTACACCCAACTTACCTTGTCCCCGACATAAAATCCGTTACCGTTGCTCCTTAAAATCTTCTCAAAGAAACCGACGAATTTTGGAAAAGTTCTCTTGTTGTTTTCCTTTGTTATGACAGCCTGTGAATAATGAACAAAAGGTTCCAGATTGTTACGACATTGTTTGTGTATCAAATATTCACTGACACATGTCTCTGTGCACTACACATAAATTGTTGTGTTGTTTTGAGAAAATTGTTATGGGGAGAGCACAATTACTAAATAGTTTCAAAATAATAATCTTATTTAAGGAAAACACAGATCGACCACTGCTTGAAGGTGCTACAGTTCCAGTTCGCTGGGGCAGAGTTGCATCCCTTTGCTGTGCTAAGATCTCTATTCGTGGATCTGAATCCAAGATTTGATCCTTAGTCTCCTTCCATGCAATGTTTAGGCCAAATTTATGCACTGGGCTTACATCAAATAAGTGTACTGCTTGATTGGAGCTTATTGGATTGATAATGGCGATGACACTCACTTTCTTTTCTTCATCCTTCTCGAAATATTGTTTGATGAGGACACTGAAGATGTCGTTGATGATGCCGATCACTTGGTCGACCTCCATCTGCTCAATGTTGGACCTCCCGTGGAATCCTTTGAAAGACAACATAGTGTTTGATGCCTTAGTTTAGAACGTCTCAGCTATATGACGGTTGTCTTTAAATACTCTAGTTTGAGCCACACGAAACGAATGAGAGTCTCTGGATGTCGGGAACAATTACACAAAATAAGCTCAGTCAGAATGCTGATCCTAGGATGAAGTAATGGTTTTAGGGCGACGTGGGCCAGTAAGAGGCCTATTTGCGCCCAACACATTGACTTGATTTAATAAACAATCATAGGTAATTTCATTGCCAAAAGGAATCGTTTAGTTAAGATAAAAGAAACGACAACACTATTAATTTGGATAGATGTATACGTATGTCGATTAAAACCTTATTTAATCATTTCCATTTCTGAAACATGAAATACTCATTCAATAAAAAAGCAGTAGGTTCAGATGACAGAGTGTTAAAATGATTTAAAACTACAGAACTAAATCTGTTTAAGTCATTCGAGAGCCTGTCTAGATTACATCATATTTTCCAGATGACGAGACAAAATCTAAAACTGCCCGTTGCACAGACCCATACATGATATTGGGGCCCAAAACTGTTTCTAATGAAAATACATCATCAACCTCAAGTATAGCACTTCTGAGATTATGTCTTTTGTTGTTATGCCCAGGGTATGTAATTAGATAATGTTCGATGTTTTCAGGCGTCTCCAAATTGCAATTGCCACATTTAGAAGAGACCGTCTTATCTATAATACTCCTGTAAGCATTTAGCCCACAGTGTCCAAGTCTGAGACGTGAAAGAATAACCTCATCACGCCTTTTATGACGACGAATTTTATGACCAGATTTTAGTGATGGTCTAAGTTTGTACATATGTCGGCCGGTAGTACCTGTATCCCACAACTGTTGCCAACTCCTTGTAACAGATTTCGATAAAACATTTTCATAATCTTATTAGGGATTGGTTGAAATTTAAATAAATCAACTTCAGGAAACTGTAACCCGGATTTGGCCAAATTATCTGCAATCTCATTCCCATGTATTCCAACATGTGCTGGGACCCACACAATGTCGCATGCAATGTACTTCATGTTTAAAGATGTATCTCATGAACAATGTCATCTCTAGATCCATTTGCACCAGCTTCTATAGCTTTGATTGTTGCCATGGAATCTGTAAAGATAATTGCTTCATGGTCATGTTCATCTACCCATCTCAATGCTTGCAAAATGGACAAAAGTTCAGCTGCAAAAACAGAAAGATAATCAGGGAATCTGAACACCTTTAGCGATCGATAAATTGGGTACAATATATAACAAGTTTTATGGATAACAACTTCTTTATTTTCGTGAGTGCGACGTTTCGATACAGATTCTTGTACCGTTGTCAAGCAAGAGTGATACATGAAGTGTAGGAGCTGCATATATATACTGTATATAACAATGAAACAACATAATAGACAAAGGAAACAACATAATTGCCATGATTGGCTAAGCAGTAAGCTGATGAAGCCAGTAAGTACATAAAGGATAGTGAATGGAAGCCAGAGATGTAGTTACAATGAGATGTTTATACAATGGATGCGAAGTTTATACAATAGACTGGGCTTGGTGGAGGAGTGGATCATAAGCAGATGGAATGAAGTATCCTTGGTCACGGTTGATGGTAGGCTTGTGGCGTTTGATGTGAATGGCTTCTGTGAGCTTGCGTTTAGTGAAGTCCGTTTGGTTGTTGGCGAGAATGGTGATGTCGGACCACTCTATTTGATGATTGGGGTTGGCTTTGATGTGGTCAGAGATAGCTGATTTGGTGTCGGAATTAGCAACAGAGGTGCGATGTTCTTTGACTCGGGTGTTGATGGGTCGGGATGTTTCACCTATGTAGCATTGTCCACAATCACAGTCTATTTTGTAAATAACACATTTCGGGTTGTTGTTGTTGACGGTGGGTTGTTTTCTTCCGTTGGCATGGAGGAGGTTGTTGAGGCTGGAGGACGCTGAGAAGGTAGTGTCTATTCCTGCCTGTTGTTTCAGGAGTCGGCTGATTTGGTGTGATGGTTTACCAATGTAGGGAATGGATATCTTGATGGGGCTGATTCTGGTTTAGATCTTTGGCAGGAGGTGAAAGCGTTGCTTCGATGGTTCTGTTGACTATTTCAGGTGGGTAGTGGTTGCGTTCCCACAAAGACTTTCCTCAGGTGTTCAATTTCTTCCTGTAGGTTTGTTGAGCAGATGTTTTGGCTCTTCTGGTCAATGTAGAGATGACGCCGGTCTTGACTTTAGGTGGGTGGTTGGAGTTGTAGTGGATGTATTGATCCGTATGAGTTGGTTTTCTGTACACGGAGGTCTGGAGTTGGTTGCAGGAGGTGCGGGACACAAGGACATCAAGGAAAGGTAGTTGGTTGTTCTGCTCTGTTTCAATGGTGAATTTGATGCGGGGATGTTGGCTGTTGAGATGGGCGAGGAGCTGCTTTGGATCTTGCTGAGGTTGGAGGACGACGAAGGTGTCATCCACTTTGCGGTACCAGCAGGACGGTTTGAAGGGTGCAGTTTCTAGGGCCTTCTCTTCCAGGTCGGCCATGTAAATTTCTGTTAGGATGGGGATAGTGGGGAGCCCATGGGAAGTCCGTGGATTTGCTCATAGATGGCATCGCCCCAGGTGAAGTAGGTGGAGTTGATGCAGGCGGAGGTGAGGCTGATGATAGAGTCGGTAGAGAGGCTGGTGTTGAGGGGTTGTTGGAGGTTGTCAATTCTGTGACGTAGTGCTTGAAGGGCTTCATCCCGAGGTACATTGGTGAATAGGTCCACAACGTCGTAGCTGATGATTGGACCTGGGTTGGTGATGTCACGGATCTTGGAGCAGAAGTCAGTTGAATCATTGATGAAGGAGTTGGCAGATTTACCTAATGGGGAGAGTACTTGGGTAAGGTGCTGGGCAGTACTGTAGAATACAGTGTCACGGGAACAGACTAGTAGACGAGTTTTAACGGGGTTCTTGTGGATTTTGACTGTTGCTCTGGCATAAGGTGGCTGGGGGTGAGATACTGTGAGTGGATGACACCTTCGTCGTCCTCCAACCTCAGCAAGATCAGGTCCCCTGCATCAAATTGTTGAAACAGAGCAGAACAACCAACTACCTTTCCTTGATGTCCTTGTGTCCCGCACCTCCTGCAACCAACTCCAGACCTCCGTGTACAGAAAACCAACTCATACGGATCAATACATCCACTACAACTCCAACCACCCACCTAAAGTCAAGACCGGCGTCATCTCTACATTGACCAGAAGAGCCAAAAACATCTGCTCAACAAACCTACAGGAAGAAATTGAACACCTGAGGAAAGTCTTTGTGGAACGCAACCACTACCCACCTGAAATAGTCAACAGAACCATCGAAGCAACGCTTTCACCTCCTGCCAAAAGATCTAAACCAGAATCAGCCCCCATCAAGATATCCATTCCCTACATTGGTAAACCATCACACCAAATCAGCCGACTCCTGAAACAACAGGCAGGAATAGACACTACCTTCTCAGCGTCCTCCAGCCTCAACAACCTCCTCCATGCCAACGGAAGAAAACAACCCACCGTCAACAACAACAACCCGAAATGTGTTATTTACAAAATAGACTGTGATTGTGGACAATGCTACATAGGTGAAACATCCCGACCCATCAACACCCGAGTCAAAGAACATCGCACCTCTGTTGCTAATTCCGACACCAAATCAGCTATCTCTGACCACATCAAAGCCAACCCCAATCATCAAATAGAGTGGTCCGACATCACCATTCTCGCCAACAACCAAACGGACTTCACTAAACGCAAGCTCACAGAAGCCATTCACATCAAACGCCACAAGCCTACCATCAACCGTGACCAAGGATACTTCATTCCATCTGCTTATGATCCACTCCTCCACCAAGCCCAGTCTATTGTATAAACATCGCATCCATTGTATAAACATCTCATTGTAACTACATCTCTGGCTTCCATTCACTATCCTTTATGTACTTTACTGGCTTCATCAGCTTACTGCTTAGCCAATCATGGCAATTATGTTGTTTCCTTTGTCTATTATGTTGTTTCATTGTTATATACAGTATATATATGCAGCTCCTACACTTCATGTATCACTCTTTGCTTGACAACGGTACAAGAATCTGTATCGAAACGTCGCACTCACGAAAATAAAGAAGTTGTTATCCATAAAACTTGTTATATATTGTCACACCAAGACATTTGAACACTGACACCATTTCCAGTTTATGGTGTCCAAGAGTTAAATTGATATCATGAGGGATCTTACTTCTTGTGATCATCATTGCCACTGATTTAGATTTTGAAATCTTAAACCCCCATTTCGATCACCATGTACTGACTTTACTTCAGCAGTTTTGTATAGATTCTATGACTAACTGAAATTACCAAAGCGTCTCCAAAACGATCCGTCATCAGCAAACTGTGCTGCATTCATGTTTAGAGGAAGGTCCTCGATAATGTCATTGATCATAATATTAAATAAAACTGGACTTATTACACTTCCTTGTGGGGTACCATTTTCAATCATATGCACGCCTGACAGTTCTTGACATATGCGAACTTGAATGGTTCTTTCGGACAAAAATGACCATATCCACTTGAACATGTTGCCTCTAATTCCAAGTTTCCACAATTTAAAAAGCAAACCATTTCTCCAAATCATGTCATAAGCCTTTTCGATATCAAGGAATACACACAACATGTATTCCTGGTTGCATAAAGCTTTCTGTTCTTCAGTTTCAAGACGAACATGCTGATCTATACATGAACGCCCCTTTCTGAATCTTGGCTGGATGTGGGTAAGAAGCTCATTTCGTTCAAGATAATAGTTCAGGCGATTAGTAACTATTCTCTCCATGATTTTACATAAATTAGAAGTGAGAGCAATCGGTCTATATGATGCAGGAAGCGATGGATCTTTTCCTGGTTTGGGCACTGGAACTATTATTGCATGTCTCCATGTCCTAGGCAAGGATCCAGAACACCAACTTAAG